CCCCTTAGGTTCCACAATAAGTATAACAAGCATGCTTTACTGCATATACAGACTGATTTTACTGTTGTGGGTTTACTAACACTTTAAAACTCTAGCTTGCAGCCTTCAGATACCACTTCCTTTACTCAGCCATTGGAGATGTTGGTCTAAGTGGTGCCTTTCCCTCACTGAGAGGACGACTTGTCAGTGGGCTTGAAAGATTTGAGTCCAAAGTTTTGATCTTGCATTAGAAGTGCAGGGTAAAAGAAGGACAATCTTTTTGGCTTCAGTAGCAGAAGAATGGGCACTATGAGAGGTTGGCTTTCTTTGTTGTGATAAAGCTGTTGTTATAATTATCCAGGGAAGCATCAAAAAAGAAGTTCCCCATCAAAGGATATGCAGAGCAAGCATTTTTTTCAAATTACTGTTCCACAGACCAGCATTTTAGTTAAGAATTTCCTGCATATTAAGAGACAGGAGACACAGTCCGCATATGAGGTGGGCAATATCCACCAAGCTGTTAACAAAATAGTGCAATGGAGCACACATAAACTCCAAAACGTTTCAGATCTGCATGGTCAGTAAGTAATTCTTTGGACATTTCCTTAGTCCATACCTCTAAAATCTCTGCTATGCATGAGCCTTTTATGTCAGGCTGTGCTGACTCCAAGGGATTGAGGGGGACAGGGGAGGGAAGCTCCAGCACACAACATGTGATTGACAGCCTCAGCTGTGCATGTTTCCTTATGAGACTGTGTAGAGGACAGTGTGTCTCTTCTCACCACTCAGGTCTCAAATTACACCCTTAAAGCTCTTCTCTCTGAGCTGTGCAGTGTGTGACATCAGACCACCGCGCCCACCTATAGAAGCGCAGTAAAGCTGTATAAATTCTGGACTTTAAATGGATGTAGAGAAGAGATGGCTGCAGATAAACTGATACAATGTATGTAGAAGGATTTGATTAATCTTTTTGTATCACCTGAGGCTAGTCACTTCACTAGGTATATGTAAGGGTTTACAACCACTTTAAAGAAAATCTGTAGGCAAACCATATCTTATAGGGTGGTATGAGGGCTATAATGTAAGCACTTTTAGGTGTCTGGTCTCGAGCTTAGTTTATCTTCGGATTGCCCAGAGATCCTCAAACAAAAACCCTTACATTTGATTATCAAATATCAACCACACATTTTCCTGGTCAATAACTGACTCACTTTATCTCACCCTTGAACCTTCTTTTTACCTTTTGAGGCCATCAAGCAGGAAGTTATGAAGGCAGGAGAAGACAGACCAGTTATTGGCCAGGAAGCTGTGTGGTTGATTTATATGTAAAAGGGTGCTGGAGTCTTGGGGATCGCCTGAAATTCTGAGGATAAACTGCACAGGTGAACAGGCACTGAGCGGTCCTGCTTTATAAACCCAAAGCTATCACACTAGGTACAGTGAATTCACAAATTCACTTTAAGCTTGTTCAGTTTCACTTTATGCATGTTATGTAGCTTAATTTGGAGTTGGTTGTTTGATGTTTACTACTTTCTAAATATAGACTACTGCTACTAATAATACATTTCTAGCTGTGAAATGAAGAAGTACGTTTCAACATTTAATTATTTGATGTCTATGTCTGTGAAGGATGATAAAAAATGTAATCATTTCACAGGATTATCAAACTCAAAACAATAGTGTCACAAAATAGCTAAATAATACTAATAGGCTTAGATGTGGTTAAATTACATCAGCAACAATTTCTGCACACATTGTTAAAGTAAAAATATTTGTAGGTTTTTTTTTTGTCCATCAAAGAACACTGTTCTTGCTCTTGCTAATGTGAACATCTAAGCTCCTGTCTAGTATCAATGGGTGATCTTCCAGTCTGAAAGAATGTCACATCTACTGTGTCCAAATCAGGAAAAGAATTCTTTTGCACACTGTGCTAAATCTTTTGATTACAAACACATAGAACAGACACAGCAGTCATCCCTCTGTGTATTCCCAAAATACTATTGAAAATATGCCCAGTCATTGCAGAACTCTCAACAAATATGCATTTCACTAAGCCTGAACATCTAAATGGCTATTTGAATTTCTGTACAGCATTGCAAACACATTTGGACCTTGGATTTATATGAAGGCACAATACATGGACATATTAGTCAAGAACTGTGTACAGATAACAGATAATTGTCCCTACCCACATGGAAGAAAATAATATTTGAAATATAGTTTAAAAATATTCTTCCCAAATATATTGCCATATATTTGAAATGCTACAATTTTGGCCATATTTAGTATATTTCAATATATACAGTGGGGATCGAAAGTTTGGGCACCCCAGCTAAAAATTTGTATTAATGTACATAAAGAAGCCAAGGAAAGATGGAAGAATCTCCAAAAGGCATCAAATTACAGATTAGACATTCTTATAATATGTCAACAAAAGTTAGATTTTATTTTCATCATTTACACTTTCAAAATAACAGAAAACAAAAAAATGGCGTCTGCAAAAGTTTGGGCACCCTGCAGAGTTAATATCTTGTACTGCCCCCTTTGGCAGGTATCACAGCTTGTAAACGCTTTTTGTAGCCAGCCAAGAGTCTTTCAATTCTTGTTTGAGGTATCTTTGCCCATTCTTCCTTACAAAAGTCTTCAAGTTCTTTGAGATTTCTGGGCTGTCTGTCACGCACTGCTCTTTTAAGGTCTATCCATAGATTTTCAATTATTTTGAGGTCAGGAGATTGTGAAGGCCATGGCAAAACCTTCAGTTTACGCCTCTTGATGTAATCCCCCATGGATTTCGAGGTGTGTTTAGGATCATTATCCATTTGTAGAAGCCATCCTCTCTTTAACTTCAGCTTTTTCACAGATGGCATCAAGTTACCATCCAAAATTTGCTGAAATTTTATTGAATCCATCTTTCCTTCTACTCGTGAGATGTTCCCTGTGCCACTGGCTGCAACACAACCCCAAAGCATGATTGATCCAACCCCATGCTTAACAGTTGGACAGAGGTTCTTTTCATTAAATTCTGTGCCCCTTCTTCTCCAAATGTACCTTTGCTCATTCCGGCCAAAAAGTTCAATTTTAACCTCATCGGTCCACAGAACTTGTTTCCAAAATGCATCAGGCTTGTCTATATGTTCATTTGCAAAGTTCAAACGATGATTTTTGTGGTGAGGACGTAGAAGAGGTTTTCTTCTGATGACTCTTCCATGAAGACCATATTTGTACAAGTATCTCTTTATAGTGGAATAGTGTACCACAACTCCAGTGTCTGCCAGATCTTTCTGGAGGGATCGTGCAGTCAAACGTGGGTTTTGAATTGTTTTTCTCACAATCCTGCAAGCTGTTCTGTCTGATATTTTTCTTGGTCTTCCAGATCTTGCTTTAACTTCCACTGTTCCTGATGACTGCCATTTCTTAATTACATTCCGAACAGAGGATATTGACATCTGAAAACGCTTTGCTATCTTCTTATAGCCTTCTCCAGCTTTGTGAGCGTCAACTATTTTCAGTTTCAGTTTTCTAGACAACTGCTTAGAAGAACCCATGGTGCTGCTTGTTGGGGCAAGGTCAGATGAGTCTGGGCATTTAAAACCTTTGAGATTGACATCACCTGGTCTTCCCAGACGATGATTGAGAACAATCCATGACACTGGCAGGTCTCAGCTTGGCAAAGGGGGCAGTGCATGCTATAAATTCTGCAGGGTGCCCAAACTTTTGCAGACGCCATTTTTTTGTTTTCTGTTATTTTGAAAGTGTAAATGATGGAAATAAAATCTAACTTTTGTTGACATATTATAAGAATGTCTAATCTGTAATGTGATGCCTTTTGGAGATTTTTCCATCTTTCCTTGGCTTCTTTATGCACATTAATACAAATATTTAGCTGGGGTGCCCAAACTTTCGATCCCCACTGTATATATATATATATATATGTATATATATATATATATATATACGCTGCATGTTGAAATGCGTTTTTATTACAAAAATATATAAAAAATATGTTTAAAAATACATTTCAAATATACTGTATGTCTTTAAAAATACAAATCTACATTTTGGAATGCATTTACAAATATATGTAAAAATATGTTAAAATGACTTTTTTATATGCTAAAACAAAATCTGAAGTGCGCTCCTGTACCTTTAAGGATGGGTTGGCTCCCTCAGGTCTATCTGCCCTTGGTCTATTCATTAAATACATGTCCCTCTTCCATGGGGGCTCTTAAAATTGGAGAGTTAGGAACTACAGAATACTGGGGTGCCATGATGAGGCTCTGTAGCTTACAAAAGTATTTGCAAATGTGTGCTAACTAAACCCCTGTTTTTAACTCATACTCTTAGACAGGTTAATTTGGTTTGTTTGCTGGCTGGCAAGTTAGAGCTGGGAATATTTCTTTTTTGTTGTTTGACATGCGTTGCCCTTCCATGTCTCCTTGCTGAAAAGGCCAGTTATAGACTGTGGAAGTGGCCTTTTTTTGTACCATTTTTTGTAATGTGATATTCTACGTTATGTCTGCTAATTTGTTATGCGTTTCCCTCACTTATCAGGACACTAAAATTCTGTTTCTGGTACAAAGCATGCCAAAGGAAATCTTACAAAGCCTGTTTTACAAAAATATTAGAACACATTCAAATAAGTAATTCTAATACATTAGACGTACTGTCATTATCTGAATGCTAACTTTTGATGACGTTAGCATATGTCTAAACAGTAGTTACTACTCAATGGAGCCCACTCATGCAAGTTCAGGAGAGGGAGAGGGAGGTTTAACCTCACCTAAAGGCGGCAGCTCCTAAGCTCTGCTAAAATCCTATGTGTACATGGACACATAGGTTTTTATGGAGTTGAGTTTAGGAGCTTTGGCAAAAAAAATGCCAAAAGCTCCTAAATTCAAGTTTAGGAGATGCTCCTGTACATGAGGTCTTACTGTTGAAATTACCAGTAACCTGTATCTCATTAAACAAACTCAAGAAAATGCAGGTAACATCTGTAGTAACAAGACAGAGAGCATACCCACCTGGTGATAAAAATGACGTGAACTGGTAAAAAATCTCAGAATCCTTCTTCTGACCACTGTATCCTACAATGCTGCCAACATCCAAAGGTAAAGTCTTAAGATGGCGGCCAGTGGCAAGATCCCGCAGCTGCAAAACATTCTTCACATCATGGAGGTAGCACAAAACGAGGAACTTAGAATAAACACAGGCCACCCATTCTGGAATAAAGGAAAGAGCAGAATTCAAAATATGAATCTACAACTAGGTCCAAAATAAAGAGAAAATTAAGTGTTTTCATGCAACTCATTAAGAATCAAGCAACTGTATAAAACCACTCAAAAAACAATCAATCATTCTCAGTTGAAAAGGATTTTATTCAACAGAATGTGCCATTTTAACTTGGAATTTAATCTATCAACTAATGCCAGTATAATGTCAGGTGTAAACAGATCAAGACCAGAAGACAAAAAGAAAATGATTAATTTACTAGTGTTTATAGTCTGCATCTTACTAGAAGCCGCTACTAGCAGGCCCCCATTACAACATACCCAATACATACACCGCTTTGACTATTTGTAGCATCTCTCTTCTTCCTTCATACTTTTATCATACGTAGAAGATGCAGCAAATATCCTTTTAGCAATTTAAAGAGAGATGCTGCCTTGTGTAACCCTTTAAAAGAAAATTATCTAGCTGCTACTGAACCCTCAAGTGTATTATGCTGCATAGAGCTACACCACAAATATGAAAGAACTCTGGTCTAATTAAAAAGCAAGATGGTTTTAAAGAGCAGCTGTTGGAGTCTCTAAAAATAACCAGTTTACTGTTTCACCTACTTTCCTCACAATGGGAGAGCAGTTAACGTAAAGTCCAATAACTAACAACCTCAGTAATGATGCGTCTGATGTGTATGTTCCACGCTTTGGAATGCAGATAGTTTATCATTAGGGAACACAGAGGTGCCTGATGTGGCATGTGGATTCACATGCAGCTCACAGGCAGCACCATTGGCTAAATGGTTAGCACTTCCGCCTGGCAGTACTAGGGTCATTGGTTCGAATCCCAGCCATGGCACCACCTGCCTGGAGTTTGCATGATCTCCCTGTGTCTGCTTCGGTTTCTTCCCACATTCCAAAGACATCCAATTTTTTTCTTTTGCTGGCTAGCATAAAAGTATGTTGGGGAACTTCATAGGTCTGCCCACCTATAGAAGCATTTTAAAGGTTTCAGCTTGCACATTTATACCATATTACAGAGAATGCAGCACTAAAACAACCTTTTTTGCAGCAAGAGGAATAAACCTCCATGGAGACAGAGAGCACAGTCATGTTTGCCGTAGTTCAAGTCAGAAGTCAGTTGGCAAATCAGCCCACCAGCTTCCATACACTATGATTGTTCAACCAAATTTTAACCAAAACTATATCTTTTCTTGCAGTTTTGAATAGAGTAGGGAAGCATTAGAACCCCTTTCAGGTTTATTGCTGTCTGTGTCCCTGCTGGGGAGATTTACCCTCTCTATTTGTTCCAGTGACCAATGTTACTGTAACAGAGAGTGCTGTAAATCTAACATTTTACAGTGGTCACCAGAACAGGTGGTGACACCTATTTTTTGACTGTAATTGAAAATGTGGACAGGACCTATAAATTTACCGGAAGGTCACCAACCCAAAAAAAAATAAAAAAGGAAACGGGTAATCAAGGGTGGCTAACCAGTAGTAAATAGAAATTACACACATATAACACAAAAATATTTATTAACAAAAAACTAATAAAACACCCATCTTAATGGGTTTACAATTTACGTAAGTCACATAGGTACAGTGGGGCAAAAAAGTATTTAGTCAGCCACCAATTGTGCAAGTTCTCCCACTTAAAAAGTGGAGAGAGGCCTGTAATTGGCATCATAGGTAGGCCTCAACTATGAGAGAAAAATGAGAAAAAAAATTCAGACAATCACATTAACTGATTTGGAAAGAATTTATTTGCAAATTATGGTGGAAAATAAGTATTTGGTCAATATCAAAAGTTCATCTCAATACTTTGTTATATATCCTTTGTTGGCAATGACAGAGGTCAAACGTTTCCTGTAAGTCTTCACAAGGTTGGCACACACTGTTGCTGGTATGTTGGCCCATTCCTCCATGCAGATCTCCTCTACAGTAGTGATGTTTTGGGGCTGTCGCTGGGCAACACGGACTTTCAACTCCTTCCAAAGGTTTTCTATGGGGTGAGATCTGGAGACTGGCTAGGCCACTCCAGGACCTTGAAATGCTTCTTACGAAGCCACTCCTTCATTGCCCGGGCGGTATGTTTGGGATCATTGTCATGTTGGAAGACCCAGCCACGTTTCATCTTCAATGCCCTTGCTGATGGAAGGAGGTTTGCACTCAAAATCTCACGATACATGGCCCCATTCATTCTGTTCTGTACATGGATCAGTCGTCCTGGTCCCTTTGCGGAGAAACAGCCCCAAAGCATGATGTTGCCACCCCCATGCTTCACAGTAGGTATGGTGTTCTTTGGATGCAACTCAGCATTCTCTCTCCTCCAAACACGACGAGTTGTGTTTCTACCAAACAGTTCTATTTTGGTTTCATCTGACCATATGACATTCTCCCAATCCTCTTCTGGATCATCCAAATGCCCTCTAGCAAACTTCAGACGGGCCTGGACATGTACTGGCTCAAGCAAGGGGACACGTCTTGCACTGCAGGATCTGAGTCCCTAGCGGCATAGTGTGTTACTGATGGTAGCCTTTGTTACGTTGGTCCCAGCTCTCTGCAGGTCATTCACTAGGTCCCCCCGTGTGGTCCTGGGATTTTTGCTCACCGTTCTTGTGATCATTTTGACCCCACGGGGTGAGATCTTGCGTGGAGCCCCAGATCGAGGGAGATTATCAGTGGTCTTGTATGTCTTCCATTTTCTAATTATTGCTCCCACAGTTGATTTGTTCACACCAAGCTGCTTGCCTATTGCAGATTCAGTCTTCCCAGCCTGGTGCAGGTCTACAATTTTGTTTCTGGTGTCCTTCGACAGCTCTTTGGTCTTCACCATAGTGGAGTTTGGAGTGTGACTGTTTGAGGTTGTGGACAGGTGTCTTTTATACTGATAACAAGTTCAAACAGGTGCCATTGATACAGGTAATGAGTGCAGGACAGAGGAGCCTCTTAAAGAAGAAGGTACAGGTCTGTGAGAGCCAGAAATCTTGCTTGTTTGTAGGTGACCAAATACTTATTTTCCACCATAATTTGCAAATAAATTATTTCCAAATCAGCCAATGTGATTGTCTAGATTTTTTTTCTCATTTTGTCTCTCATAGTTGAGGTCTACCTATGATGCCAATTACAGGCCTCTCTCATCTTTTTAAGTGGGAGAACTTGCACAATTGATGGCTTACTAAATACTTTTTTGCCCCACTGTATTTCCAACAGAGTTTGCTACATCAGAATATAAATGTCATAGGTTTACTGTCAACGTGTTTTGCAGTATAAAGTAACCCACTTCTTCAGGACCTCATGTTTTCAGATGACAAAATAACATACACAAATTGATTTCTTGCTTCTAGAACAATCAAGAAAATACATATTACAAACATTTGTGGGTGAATGTTCACAATTCAATTTGTAAACCTTTAAAACAAAGGTTTCTCTACCAATAAGAACGGGGAAAGAAGAAAAAAAGGGGGGGAAAGGGAAAAGAAGGGGGAGAAGGGATACTTACAAGACCTAGAAACATAAAAGAAAAGAGAATGAGATTGGAGGGCTGTCACATATATCTAGGCTGTGGGGAGGTAGTTAGGAACCAGACAGGAGAGGCATGTTCTAAAGGCACATAAGCCCATAGACTCACTACCACAATAAAAATATATTTAAGATCAAAACTAGATCTACTGTTATAATAAGTAGATGGGTAGAACCAAAAAAAAAATAACAAATATCCTTGCATAATTTACGGCCCCATAAATCCATACATACTCACCTCAAACTATAGCTTCAAAAAAAGGACAGGGTAAGCAGTTCTTCTTAAATATCACAGTAGTATATCTCTGAAAACAATATGGAATACCTAATATAGTACTCCAGATATATACTCCTATTAATATTAAAAATAAAGGAAGAAAAAAAGGGGGGAATGCAAATAAATACCCTTTAATAGTATATTATGTGTGTAATTTCTATTTACTACCAGTGAGCCACCCCTGATTAACCATTTTCTTGTTTATTTTTATTTGATTTATTTTTAGGCTGGTGAGCCACCAGTAAATTTATAGATCCTGTCCACATTTTCAGTTAGTCATTTCTATTTTTTGGTAAACACTTTTTGTGGCAGGATCTCCGCCTTTTTTGTACTATTTATTGTCTTACTTGCATGGGGATGTTCATATTTATGTCATGTTGATTGTTTTATGTAGATATATCCAGTGAAGAGACCCAATGGCTGATCTAACAGGGGCAGGTTGGGGGAATTTTGCAGATAAGATCAAATCCCATTCAGTAGGTTCACAAAAGGCTGAAAATTAAATTAGTAGATATACAGTACAATTAAAACAATTATTGGAGCAAAAATTTAAACTGCATTGGCACAATTTCTACTTTAAACAATATATAGAATCAAAAATAGTCCCTTTTGGATTACGTATCCAAGTATTCCCCCAGTACAGGAAAGTATGGACCAATATGTGGTCTGGAACAATTAATGGCACCTTACCCCTTGGAGGGTACCATTTCACATTGAAGGGAATACTCACGCTCTGATTATAAAGCCTTGAAAGCACTTATTGAATAGGAGAGGGAGAGTGGGGATGTTTACTTTGAGACCCTAATTTGTGAGGAAGGAATCGAGGATGACTCTCAGATTGCTCTTTTAACTAATGATAGCCCTAGAAACTATAAAGATAAATCGACCACATTTCCACTCAAAACAATCCTAAAGTTGCACTTTTCCTAAAATTAGTTGTTAATGACATTGAAGCATTGAAAGATGGGGCTAAATATTCCAACCTACCAAGAGAAGAATCTCAAGTGTTAAGGGATTTGCAAGAACGCCATAATCTAGTGATTAAACCTGCAAATAAGGGGGGAAATATTGTTTTACTCACCCATGAACAACATATACATATGTGTGAGAAAATACTACGTAATGACTCTTGGTATTGGAAAATTTTGGCTACCACCACTACATTATTTCAGAAAAACTTTTTGAGATCATTGATAGGGCC